TTGGAATGAGGAGGGATGTTTCTCTCTATGGATTTTTTTTTTTTTTAATTTGAAGTGCATGAGAAAAATTCTCATTTGGGGAAAGTTTGACCGTACTTTGCTACAACATTAGACTTCTCCATTGGGTGTCTTCTGCTAGAAACATTTAGATTTATTTTTGTTTGTGTTCTGTCTTACGCAGCTAAGAAAACAGTTTTGAATAGGACAAATTGTCTTGTTCCAGGGAGGAGGTCTGATCTGGAGAGTGAAAACAGCTTACTACTTGGAGGACTGTCCACAAAAGAACAAAGCTCTGAGGACACTTCCCTGTTCTGTGCCCCACTAGAGATAATGTAGAGCCAAGATGTTTGCCTCAGGAAACACAACTATGTGAGACAGTCTCTTGTTAAGTGTTTTGTTTCTTTGTTTTCCTAGGATTCATGTGCTCCATTGCCTGGTGCTCTGGGTGTTGTTGCTCCTTTGGATCTGATGTATCTTGAGTATTCTCTACTCCTGTAAGAAAGAGGAATCATGTTAGTTCATCTTACAGGGATGCTGGTGCACTTTCCTGACAGTTTTTAATAGCTGGTGCTGTGGAAGAAGACTGGAGTCTTTTTTAATCAGGTGTGCATCTCTCCAGATTTGTGTTTTGCGTGTCACTGGCAAAATGTGAAGAAGAAATATTCATAAAAGGGCCAATGTTCCTGCACAACAACATTCATGGGAAATAATTTCTGGATACACAGAAGTGCAAGTTCCTTGTGGCAGCCGAATGGAGAGTTATGGATGCCTAGAAAAATGAGATGACGTTGTATGATCTGTGCATCCTGGAAATCAATCAGCACTACAGTTATAAAACATCTCCATTTGTCTGCTTTGGCAGACTGGTCATAATGAAGAATTTTAAACTTGGTGTAGAATATAAATCCTGGTAGCAAGGAACTCTCAAGCCAACAGGAATTTAGCTGCTTGAAAACCTTGGTCTTGGTTTAGTCCAATTTTTAGCCAAAGTGTGAATTCAACACTTTTAAGTTCTCAATTAAAAGGTCATCCTCATATCAAGCGGTCCAGACTCACCATACCGTCAGCCTGTTTTCCAGAAAAATCACCTCTGTTGGAAGGACAACTGGAAATGCCTAAATGAGATGATAGAAATTATGTGACCTGAGTCAAAAGCGATTTTGCTGTCAAGGCAAAAAAATTTTTCATTTAGACAGAAATGTTACAAAATCGTAGTCTTGATAGACAGTTCACAAGATGATATTTGTGAAACTCTGTAGAAAGAGAAGCCAACGGAAATTAGTTTTACATTTACACCTAAAGCAGTTGCATGGATTTATTACTACATCTGGGGCTGCAAGCCTGAGACTGATTTAACTACTGTCCCTTTTGGTTTCTTATCCAGGGTGGCAAACCAGATGTAGAATGCTAAAAAGAAGTTGAGCTGCATGTTTTGGCCTTTCAGCCTGCTTCTTGTGTTCATTTTGGTCTATAAACAAACATCTCTCAGGTCTCCTAAATAGATTTTCTGATTGAGTTCCCAGAACAGACCACCACCAGCCTCATTAAAGCTTATTTATGTTACTTTCATGTATGAATAAAAAAGCTCCCATTCACTGCTGATTTTATTTAGTTAGATTCTGTGCCTTGTGGTAGACATTGATTTGGAGTGACATTTTTGGCACCAAAAAAGAAAAATAGTGAGACTGCAAGGAATAGTTTGACACCTGCATCTTTTGCAGTACAAAAAGGAAGGGGTTAACCTGTTCTTGGCTATATGATATTGATTGAGGACACAAAGAAAATACAGCTGTAAATATTTAGGAAGATTCCCTAGTAGCTGGGGTGCTTTTTAGGGCATAGGTCATTGAACTGGGACTCTGGAGACATAGTCTGTTTTCCCCGGGATGCCACCCGCTCCCTGCATGATAGGAAGAGAAAGGTCACTCGTTGTTCTAGGTCTCGGCTCCCAGCTGAGAATGATGCTGTCTCCCTCCTCTCCTTTTCAAGCTTGCTTGTTTATCTCACTAGCTTTTCATCAGAGTAATATCCACTCTGCCTCTGTGCTGAGCACAGTGGGTCCTGCTCTTGGCTGGGGCTTCTAGACACCACTAAGAGTAACAGACATGATTCTCTCTATGCTTGTCTCCACCTTCTCTGTCCACGCTCCAGTGCTTGTGAGGTAAGATTAACAGCTAAAAAAACCTCAAACCAACAATAAAATCAGTGTAAATGAAGAACGAAGAAGGAAAGATCCAGTATATGTGATAAGTTGTGAAATAGGTTTGAGTAGTGTTTTTCTCCAGCCCTGCTGACTGATGGTCTCTCTCATGTAAAGGTACTGCATTTTGGGACAAGAAGGATCTGAGCCTGTCATTTAGTCAGAGGGGTGAACAAAAAGCAGCTTTGCCTCTTTCCTTTGCACTAAGCACATTGTGAATATTCTTAAGCATTGCCACAAGGATTAACATCCCTGAATTTTAATGTGCCTGGTGCTGGAATGTAGCTGGAAAGCAGAGCAGGCAGGAATGGTCTCTCTGGGCTGTGGGCTCTGCTAGGTGACTCTTTGAAGTTCTATTCAATAGCTTGCTGTTACTCTTTACATTTTTTTTCCCCTTTTCTGCTTTTTTTCCTCCTCCTTCAACCACTTCTGGAACAAGTACTGATACATTTCATGCTTCTCAAATTTACTGGACTGGATTGTTTTATCTCCACATACTTTTGCATGGCAGTAGTATTAAAATAAAAATATAATAAAGAAAAAAAAAGCATGGGGACAGAAGTACGGAGTTTGGTGTTTACTTTGGATCATTAACCTGGTCTGTAAATTTGATCTGATCTTTTTTTTTTTTTTTTTTTTTTTTTCCTGTTCCTCCACTGTTCTCTCTGTGTAATTTCAGAGCCTGCAAAGAGACGTTGTCTTCTGTGGCTTCAGGATCCCAGCAAGAAATGGGAGTCTGATGGATTGTAAATGCACCTGCTTTGTTTAAAACCCAGCCAAGCAGATAAGTGCACTTTTAATTCTCTCCAACTGGTGCTTTAGACATAGCTCTGCACAGCATCTCTCTTCAGTTTGGTTTCAGTTCGGTGAGGCTCTGTGTTTCACCCCTGCAAATGAATGCTGTGTGGGTCTCACTTCAGCTGAGAAATACCAGACAATATTGGTATTTCATGCTAAGGTAATTAATTGGTGTCTGAGGGAACTGCAGCTGAAGGGCTGGGAGGCTCCCAGGGCTTGCTGCTCTTCCAGAGCCACTGTCTCCAGCAGCCCTGTGAGGTTTTGGGACTCTGAGGAGCAGCTCTGTGGGACCAGACAAGGCTGTTGTGACCCACCTGAGCCTTAAAGAGTCCTATGGGACTCATTAGAGGTTTAATAACTAAATTTGGCTGGTCTGATTGAGAAGATGCTTGTGCAGGCTTGGCACAATCTCAGAGAAACCAGCTCATGCTGTGGCAGGAGAAAGGGCTTTCTGCATGTGCTTGTCATATGTGTGCAGAGAAAGTGATAACCCTGCTTCCTCCCACCAGCTTCCAGGTGGGAAAATAACTGGGGATGGGGGAGAAAAGACCTTGGTTACACTGAGTTTACCCAGGGTGTGCAAAGAAGTATCGTGGGTGAGTGGTAACAAGAATTGTCCCCTCAAAGTTAGGTGAACATTTTTATCTGTCTACCAAGAAAGCAATTTCTGGCTGCTTAGATCTGCTTCTAGAGGTGACCACTGTCTTCTTGTGGCCACCCCACTGCAACTACTAAATTATTCAAGAAACCCATAAAATAGGGTCTCATGTAAAGTGTAAGTTTGCAATAATATACAGTCATGGGGCTGGGGCAGATATTCACCATAATGTAATTTACTGTGTTAGAATAATGAAAAGAAAAGTACTGAGGCTGAGTGCGTGAGCATTGTTGCGGATGTGTGGCAGGAGGCTGGACAAGAGCCAAATAATCTACTCCAGTCTTGTCTTGCCTGCTCTACCAGGGATAATTGCTAGTGTAAAACATCTACCTTGCTATTAGGAAAACTACAAATAGGTTTGCTACAGCAAATTAGGCTGTAGTAACTGACCTGTATTCATCTTACCTACCTAAGCAGAAGGTGAGTTTCTTGGTGAAGTTGCCAGTTTTGGGGTGATAAAGAGAGACAGGAGAGACAAGGAGTGGAAGTGGGAGGTTGCTGCAGTTTGTGAGAACTAAATCTGGATCAACTTGTGATCCCTGAAGTATCTGAAGTTCCTTCTTTTCTAGGAGAAACTTCACTGCTGCTGTTATTACTAAGGAATTTTTTATATTAATAGAAGAAATGGCACGTCTGTTAGTAATGACTAAGCTCTGTCTTACAACTGTAAACAGTACTTATTCCTGACTCTTCAGTACTTTGAAAGCAAACAAGCTTGACACTATATTAAGAAACACTGATTAAATGGAGCACTAGTGAGAAAATCAGGGCTAATTTATTCAGCAAGGGTGGGTAGGAAGTTAAAAAAGCTTAAAACCTCTCTGTGCACCAATTAATGCAGATTAACATTTTTCTCATCTCAGAGATTCTCAAGGTACTGATTTTCAGGTTTGCAACTTTAAATCTCTTCTCTGCCAGTGAGCTGAAATCAATGTATCCCCCTACTAGATCCCATTAAATTAACCCCAAGCTGGCCAGTTCTGAGCCATCTGACATTACTCAAAGTCAAATCTGGGAATCATCCTGAGGTGTGGCTGGCATGCAACATGTAACACTCTGTGCTGCCTGGAAGAAGAAGCAGAAAACACTTGAAGTGTCTCTTGGGAGCTGTACTGATGACAGAGATGATACCTAGGTTGTTCTATGCACCTGTGGTTTAGCTGGTACTTCCTGCAGCAGAGAAGAACAGATTCAACAGCTCTTGTCCAGTTACTGAAAAAAAATTTTGTCCTGCAAAGAAGATCCTTGAATCCCTAACTCCTTGTCTTACAGGTGAACCTTGAGGACACTTGGGACACTGTAGCTCCTGAATGTGTGACCTTCCCCTGTGATTAGAAGAAAGCCATGGGGAAAGACAAGAAAGAAGAGGCCATCTTCCTGAGGAAAAAGATAACTTTGCTGCGGGCTTTCTCGCTACTCATTGGCAGCATGGTTGGCAGTGGCATCTTTATTTCCCCCAAAGGAGTACTGAAAAACTCTGGCAGTGTGGGATTCTCCCTGGTCGTCTGGTTTTCCTGTGGGCTTCTCTCCATGTTTGGTGAGTGCTGAGCTTTGGCAGTCCTTGCTTAAGCACCTGGGAAGTGAGGGGAACCTGCACATTTTTATGTTTAGAAAGCTGGGAGATGAATAAACCCAAAATTTTTAGTTCCTGCTGCAACAAAGGTTTAAGGAGTCAGGGGATGGTCACTAGGAGTTTTTAGTTCAAATTATTTCCCTGGGGTAACGGACAAACTTCCAGCACTTATGGTCTGTAATATCAATTGATGTACAAGTCCAGGGCAGGGGAGTGACAGTGACTGCAAAGAGAGACAGCATGGTCTCTGCCAGGAAAGCTGGGAGAGAATGGGGGACTCCTTCTGTAAGGTTGAAAGGAGATGTAGGCACCTAAAAGAGAATCTGAGGACTGTGCTGTTCTTTTCACAGCCACTGTGAAGAGAGTAGAAAGGGTGAGTCCCAATATGCCCCATGGGACCCCCTTTCTGTTAGAGAGATTGGCTGGAGCAGAATGCCTGGGGAGCTGCAGGGGATGCACCAGCCCAGAGTGGGTGTTGAGTGTCTGTAAGAAATGGTGTGGGGATGTCTGATGCTGCCCCGCTTTCTGTGTGTTGATATTGGCTTGATTTCTGTCATTTAGTACTAGTCTTTTCTCACAAAGGTTGTCTTTTTGATGTCAGTTTCATTCTAGTTCTTTTGAAATAACATAGCTCTTCTAAGTTACACTGGATAAAACACATGGCTTTTAGTTTCTTTCATTAACTGTAAAAAAAATCACCATCTCAGAAACTCTCTAAAGGTGCTATTAGAACAACTTCTCTCAGCACAGGAGAGAAATCTGATGCTTATTATAGTGGGTGACTTTAACATTCTTCTTCTGTTTTAACTAACTAAAAAAAAAAAAACCACCAAAAAAAAAAAAAAAAACCAAAAAAAAAAACAAAAAAAAAAAAAAAAAAAAAAAACCCCAAAAACCCCCGAGAAAAAAAAAAAACTAAAAACAAACAAACAACCAAAAAAAAAAACCCAAAACAAGAAAGGAGACATATACCATGTGGAAAAAAAAATCAGCAGAACACTTTGACACTCTGTATATGTAAGTATATGTATATGTATATGCAAGTTTAGAAATTGAGACATTCGATTGTTAATAGGGCAACAAGTTGTTCTTGCTCTTAGCATACGTGTACCAATATTTCACATTGCAACTTCTTTGTGGTTGTTTGGTGAACTATACACTTCTGCTTAAAGAAAAGCTGGCAGTATAATGTGGGCATGGTCTTTCTTTTAACCAAGCAGAGCAGTAAATGATAATGTATGTGTAATCACATAGCCAAGCTCTGCACTTGTAAAGGTTTTTCCCTCTACAGCATCCTTTGATACGCTCTCCTGGAAAGGCCTCGGGAACCTCTTTACCAAGTGATTGCATTTTGTAGCTGGATTTGTCTGTTTGTTCTTCTTTTTTATCAGCTTGATGCCCTCCCCTGATCATTTCTCTGACACTTTTCTGCAGTCTATTTAAAAGGCTTGCTTTCTTTGTGCTGATTTTTCTTTCAAGTGGGGTATATATACAGGTCCCATTCCATGAGTTCAGCAACATACTTATATGCATGCTTGAAGCATTTAAAGGGACCCACTGGAATAAACGAGATGAGCTGTCTGCCTATATTTGATGCTTTGAACAGGAGTTCTGCACAAATTTTCCAACAGGGAGGCAGGAAACATTGAGGTTGTCATCATCCTGCATGACCTGAATATGGCATGATTGCCATGGGACTTGGAGGCATGGCCATGTCACCACTGGATTCAAAGGAGGGAAGGGATTTATGTGAAGATGCAAGATAAGGACACAAGAATGTGGCCTGGGATCAAAAATTGAAATGACCATTTCAGCTATGGCTTGTGGCTGAGCTGCTGTAGTTGCTTGGTAGGCACCATTTCATCACTCTAACAGTGAGGAGAAGCAAGAAGCCAGGGTATCTTTCAAAGAAAACCTCTTGTAGCTCTGTGCAGCATTTCTATCACACACCCTTCTTCAGAGCTTTCATGGAAATGTTGTAACATTAACCACGAAACAGAGAATTTCTTTCCACCTGTCAGGTAAGCCAATTACTTCAAAATTTACTTCAAACCACAGTAGTGCACAAAAATAGAGAAAAGTGGTTCTCTTAAACCTCTTTCTTTGTTTCATTCACTACTTATTTTAAATGGATTTGTTCAATCCCTGAAAAATCACACAGAAAAGGAAAAACCCCTGGGATTATTTACTTTGTACATTTCTACCTGAACTTTTCCAGGTGCCTTGTGTTATGCAGAGCTTGGAACAAGAATCACCAAATCTGGAGGACATTATATCTACATTTTGGAGACGCTAGGGCCTCTGCCAAGCTTCTTATTCCTGTGGGCAGAGTTTTTTGCTATCAGGTAAGAGATTTGATTTGCTTGCCTCTTTCTGGATGCAATGATAATTTAAAATACCAAAAGTTATGGCACCAGATAACAGTCCAGGCAGTTTATAAAGGAAAGAGTTGAATGATTTTTAAAACTTTTTCAGTGATAAAAGTAAGAAGATGCAATGTGGAAATAGTTACAAATGTTGAATGTGTTCTGTACTTGAAGAATATCTCTCTTCTCCCCAGGCAGTTCGTATCCCCCAAGAGCTGTGGTATATTTCAGAGACTGACAATAGATACCAGATTTATTTCAGATCTTCTGTTTCCAGTGTGAAACTTTTTTTGTTTCTTCAGATTCAGAAAGTGGGGACAACTTCCTGGCTTAGCCCCGGGTTAAATAATTTATAAAATTGTGAACTACTTCTTTTTTTAACACTAAAAAGGAAGTCCTCACCTCTCAACAACCTGTAACCTTCATGTAAGCTTAGATGAAGCAGAACATATGAACTACACTTGCATTGCTCAGTACGATTAATCTCGACTTTTGCTTTCAAGTTGGAAATTAATCATTTTGCAGCAAGTGGTTTTTAACCCATTTACTGAGAAAAACCTATGAGAAAAACTCGATAGGAATTCACCATCTGCATGGGTGAGAGGATTAAGCCAGGTGGGGAAACTTGCTCCCCTTCCCAAGTTTTGTACAGTTTTACCTCATGCCATTTTTCAACCATCCTCAGAGCAGTTTGTGCTTTGTTCCCCCCACACTCCCCACTCCAGGCCTGCCAACAGTGCTGTTGTTTCCCTGGCATTTGGACGCTACATGCTGGAGCCGTTTTTCGCCCCCTGTGCTGCACCTGTCCCTGCGGTGAAGCTCGTGTCTCTCCTGGGCTACTGTAAGTACTAACATTTATGGGATTGTCCATCCTGGCCTCTCTGCCCTAGACTAGGAGCACTTAGGGGTGTTATTTCCTGGACAGCTGTGGGATAAAGGTCCTGTCTTACCTCCCCAGCTAACCAAAATGTTCTGATTCAAGGTGAGGGTGTTGGGTCACTATACTCTCTAGGAAGTGGAATGTTGACCAACTGGAGCCCTAGGCAGGGGGATTTTGCCAGGTGTGGGAGAAGAAACTCTCCATGTGTAATTGTGCAAAAGCCACATGAGTTCTGGGAGTAAGGCTTGAGGTTTTGGACTTTTCTCCTAGTGCATCCAGCCTGTGAAGCTGTCCTGATTGCCCCAGACTGGTGTGGATTGGCACAGGGAATGCTGTGAAGTGGGCTGCTGACATGTCCCACACCTTTCCCCCAGGCAGGTGTGGATCACCCAGCAGAAGCCAGGTTCCTGCTCCCTTTTAGGAGTGTAAGTCAGCTCCCTCTTTAAACACTGTATGCTGCACCAATGTTTCCTGACATCTCTCATCCCAGGAGTCCTCTCTAAGGCATAAAGATGCAGCCTTCCCCCAGCATCCCTAGGGCAGGGAGAGCTGCTGTATTTTTTCCTGTGTGTGTTGAGCCCAGACTGCAGCTGTAGCAGTGTGGTTTCCTCTCCAGACATGGTCCTCACCCTCAATTCCTGGAGTGTCACCTGGAGCGCGCGGCTGCAGACGGCTCTCTCTGTTGTCAAGCTCCTGGCTCTTGCACTCATCATCGTGCCAGGGATGATGTTGCTGGCCCAAGGTAGGTGTTGCTGCTCCTATGGCTGAGGAGGGTGCTCAATGTGACCCCTGTCACGGCTTTTATCAGTCCCAAGTGACAAATGTGGTGCTCACTCAGCTGGCAGGAGCTTTCTCTGTCCATGTGCCAGATGTGAATTAGCTGGGAGCTGAGACCGGCGTTGGTGGCACAAGCTGCATAATTGCACTGGGCTGATGCTCCTGGCTTGGTGGTGCTTTCTCTAAAATTTAGTGGGTCTTAGTGCCAGAGGATGTGTGAGCCTACCCAGGGTAATCTTTCTCTGCAGATGGTCTTTCTTTGGAGTCAGACTTGCCTATTTCCAGTGTAGCTCCAAATCTTTCCAAAGCAGCACATATTCTATGGACATTTAGGATATGTGACAGCATCCCCTGTGCCAATCACAGCTGTGTAATGAGTTACCAGCCCTCAGCTGAGCCCTGGTAATGGCATCTCTAACCCTTCTGTAGCACGATCTAATGTTTTTTACCTCCAGATTGAGATGGGTGGTAATTCAGTGAATTTACAATGAACTTGGTAAAGGATTTCATGCCCATATGCAGAGCGGGGGAGAAAAGCCCTACCAGTAGGATCTTCTGTGAACCATACAAGAGTATTGGCTTTATTCCAAGCCTCAGTTTATAGAAAAGCCCAAGGCATTCCCACTCAAGGGATGAAACCTGCTCTCTCTTCATGCTATTACCTTCTTCTGCACAGAAAACACCACAGGCAATGGGCTCCATGTTCATGTTTCTTTCTGATGTCTGGAGTTGGCTCCTTTGAACATGCAAAGCTCCCCTTGGGCTGGCAGCACTTCTGAACTAAAGGACTGCCCTGCAGCTAGGAATCCCGAGCCATTATTGTTAGGAATGCCTTCAAATGACAATCTGGAGCCCTGGCACCCATCCTTTTGTTGGGGAGGATAAGTGCAGGTGACATCTGGAGGGAGAATTCACCAAGAGACTCCAGTATGACAGGTTGTATTTAATGTGACTCACAAGGGAATGTAAATTGCTCATTAATGCATTGCAAGCAATAAATCTTTTTCATGCACCATCACTTACCAGCCATCATTTTAGAACATAAACAAAGTACCCCAACAGACCCACTCCTATATCTTGGGTTAGTTTTCTTCAAACCTATTTTCAAATTGACTTTTCTTTTTTTTTGTGCTTAAAAATCAGTTTTACGCTTTTAAATAATTTTTACTGATTCCTCTGCCTTGTGCTGCTTTTTTTTGATTGCACTTCTGTCCTTTTCTTTGCCATTATCTTCTCTTTGGCTCAGGATTATATTAGAGACTTGCTGGGCCAGCGTTTCAAACCCATGTGCCCAAATCTTGTCACTGAAGTTTTTGCAGAAGCAGCTCCATAGAAGTGGCCTGACTTTCTCCATGTGCTCCGTGCCGTGTCACACCTTGCCTGGTAAAACCCAACTAGGAAAACTTCTCACCTCTTAAAGAGAGTTTATTATGGAAAATTGAACATAGATGTGGAACCAAACCTTGGGTTACCTGGATTTGAAAATGTTGGGAATGCAATTCTTTTTGACTGTGTTTGAATGAGAGGCAATTCAGAATTGCTCTCTTCCTTAAATCTTTTTGTTTTGATTTAGAGAAAATCCTGACTTTGATTTTTTTTTTTTGGTTAAGTTTTGTTTTGTTATTTCAAGCAGAGAACTTGAAGGAAAATTAGGGGAGTTGGTGAATATCTGAGGCACCGCTACTTTGAACATGTTATTTGCTTCACACTCTATGTCCTTTCCTGTGGGTGGGTGGTGGTGGGTCAGACTGGCAGGTCTTGCTCCCATCCCCTCCTCCAGCCTGGTTCCCATGCTCTGGCCAGCACAGGGCTAGGGTCAGTGCTCCAGCAGCAGGAACAAGAGAGAGCACAGTGAGAGCTGAGTTAGCTGCCTCACTGGCTGCACCACATCAAAGAGGATTGTGTGTCCAGCTGCTGAGGGGGCTGGGGACCGAACAAGGGGGTCAATCCAGCAACTTAATTTTGGGCCTAAAGGAAGGAGAGGACAACATGGATCGGCTCGTCTCCATGATCTCCTGTTCCCACATCAGGATCTGTTGGAAAAAACTAGCTATTGTTGTTGCCCTTCCTGAATTGCCTAACCTAGCTGGACAAGGGATAGAATTTTTTGGTTTTTAATGTCACTGTAGGAAAGTAAACATATCAGCAACAACACTGAAGTTAAAGCAATGAAATTAATTTGAATACCCTTCTCCAAGGAAATCACAAACACTCTTCCCAGGTCAGGGCAAGAGGTACAAGGGATGTTATCCCCAGGGAAGGAAGCCTGTCTCTCACGTATTCCTACTCTGTGTCCACTGTTTATCTTCTCTGCAGGCCACACCGAGAACTTCCAGGATGCTTTTGACAGACAGTCGCTGGTTCTGGATAAGCTCCCCCTGGCTTTCTATGCAGGCATGTTCGCATACTCCGGCTGGTAGGTGCAATGAGAAAGCACTTCCCGGGCAGCAGACAGGTGCCCTCAGCATGACTCAGACTCTCACCCTGTCTCTTCCCATCGTGTAGGTTTCAGACCAGCTTTGTGCGGGAAGAGTTGGTCAAACCTGAACGGTAAGGCTGGGAGGAAGCCGCCCTGGGTCACCAGCCTTGGGGCTCCTGCAGCTTTCCCAAGTGCAGTACAGGAAGAATAAATTTGTGGGTTCACCTGACTGCAATCAGCTGTACTGCCAGATAAAATCTGCAGTAATACTGTGCATAACAAGGGATAGCAGCTTGTTCTTTGTGTGTGTGTGTGTGTTCCTCTTCCTTGCAGAAATATCCCCTTGGCTGTCATCGTGTCTGTGATCACAGTAATTGTGGGATACATGCTCACCAACGTCTCCTATTACACAGTCCTGGGAACAGAAGATGTTCTGGCTTCCCCTGCTGTGGCTGTGGTGAGTTGTCATTCCTATTGTTATCTCGTTAGTGTAGCCAGCTTATGCTGTGGTCATGGCAAGTTTTTCAGAGATGGTTTTCCTATAAAATGCTTTATTGCTCTGTAATTTCTCTGGATTACTGGGCAACAGTAAATTCTTCTTGTTGTGCCTAAAAGATAATGAAAAGTAGCCTGCAGATGACAGTAGAAGAGGTGAGATTTATGACTTCTATATTACTCCTTCAATGAATGAAGTTTTCTTTTTTTTCACCTTGATGTCACCTAGAGATCACCACATGTTCCATAAAGTCATGTTTGCTCTTCCTCCAGAGCTTTGTGCAGCGAGCCTTCAAAAGCCTGATCTCTGTTGTCCCTGTCCTTGTCGCACTGTCCTGCTTTGGAACTATGAATGGAGGAATCTTCACGTTTTCAAGGTCACATGCCTAAGGGCCTATTATGCTTTTGGCTCACTGAATCAGAGGGAAGCATCACCAACCTGTGCAACTACCCATCCACACAGTGGCATTTTAGCCAATCTTGTGGGAAAAATAAGGCTTTTGACTCCCAGGTTGTCAGCTACAGGATGGTCCCTTTTGGCTAAGAGTCTACTTTTTCTATTTCTGACCAGGTCCAGACTTTGGTATCCAAGACTGCTCACAAACAAAGATTTTTATCTTCTCCCCTACCCTTCAGTTTAAATCCCCAGTTTAAAGTGAAATGTCAATGTTTCTGGTGAACTAAAGGCTTTGTTGATGTTGGCAGCTGCTCAGTGAGACTGAGTCTTCTTCCACTGGGTTCACCCAGCTGTGCTGCTGGAGGGCATGGGGTCCCTCTGTTGTGAGGCTCTCTAGGCAAACTCTCCCTTGAGAACTTTGCTTTGAAGCAGTGAAATGCCATTGGGATGGGCTATTCCTAAAGCAATAGTCAAGGTTCAAGAAGTCTTGCTATAACAATAAGAAAAACTTTATCCCATGGAAAAATAAACTTGCCAGCTTCACCGTCTGCTGCACTCCATGTCCTTATGGGAGCCTTGAATTGGAGAGGAGGGCAGGCCTTATGAACAGCATACTTATGTTGTGCTGATCCTGTGGAGCTGAGCAAACTCTCTGCAGAGGGTTTTGCTTCACAGCTTTGATTGCAAAGAGAAAAATCAGTTGATCTGAAAGGAATGTCTCATAGCCTGAAAGCAAATGAATTATCTGATCCACTACCCTGAAGTCCTGTATTAAATGCAGGTGTGGATGATCCTTCCCATTAGCTGCTCCAGATAATGGTTTCCTTTGAGGATGAGAAGTCTCTGGACAGCACAAAGGTTCTTAGTGTCCCCTACTGACCTTCTCTCCCTGCTCCTGGCATCATTAACATAATCACTGCAGAGAGTCCATATAAACACTGATGGGGCCTCCCTGGCTGCCTGCCAGCCACACCCCTGCAAAACCACAGAGACAGCAATAAAACAAGTTGTACACTTGTGCCCCAGCTGCTTGGGGCCCTGCTTCAGCCCAGCTGATGCTCTGGCATGGTTTGTTTGAGGATATTAAATTTCTAAAATTGGATGTGATTGTCTTCTCCCTAATTGCTTTCACGAGTTAAAGGAGGGATGCAAGCAAGGAACTCTGCTCTCATTTTGTAGCTGTTCTCGTGTGTAGCTGGTCTCTTGGCAGTATGACAAACTGTATTTTCCAACAGCTGACCAGAGGATTGGAAATCATCTGTCATTTGAGGAGATTGCACTTTATTTTTTCTATAGATGTACATATAAGAATATAGGCTTCAAAGCTGACAATCCCCCTTCATAAACTCACCAGTTTCTCTTATAAAGGATTGAAGTTTGTGATTCCTCCACTTCCTTTTCACTGGAAAGATTAATTCATTTTTTGATGGCAAGAGACTTTCTTACTCCTGTTTCCAGTCTGAGTTCATTCATGGTCACTATGGACTTGCCCAAAGGTCTCTGCTGATGAAGCACCCAAGGAGACACTGCCAGTGGTTCTGATGGTGGGCTCTGAACTGCACTGAACTGGTCTTGGGTGAGCTGTGGGAATTCAGCCTTGGTTTTCTTCCAAATGCCCCCAAAGTGGAGCTCTGAGAAACTTGGTCTAGTGGAACCTGTCCCTGCCCATGGCAGGGGAGTGGGTTCCAACCCAACCCAAACTTTCTATGAAAGTCCAGCTAAAGGCAAAACTGTGGCCTTGAATAGCAGCAGGCTTGTGCTGAGGAAGGGAGCAGGTGCCTTGATACCTCAGGTCAGTCCAGTGACCGATCTCATTTCTAATGTGGATGTAGAATGTTAATGTACAGGGCTCCCTGTCTTTTCCTAGGACTCTGTTTGTGGCTTCCAGAGAAGGGCAGTGGCCTCCTCTCTTCTCCATGATCCACATTCGGAGGCATACCCCCCTTCCTGCTGTCATGTTAATGGTAAGGAGATCTGGCTGTGTGCGACACACCCTGTTCTTTTGCTGTCTTGGCTTTCTTGCAAGGACTGGATAAACTGAGGAGTTTTAGAGGGTGTTTGGACATTAAATTACTCCCAGAAAAATAGAGAAGGCAGGATACAGGAAATGGCTGCAAAGTATTAAGTTCCCTTGAGCCAGCAGTGGTATCCAAATGTACAACCTTGAAGTCCCTGCCTTATAACATTACACATCTTTTTTTAAAGTACAGTCCCTACCATCTGCCACAGGTGCTGCTTGATATTGCCTTATGAAAATAGTTCTGCCAGGCTTTGGCTATCTGGAAATTTAAAATTCCCAGGTGTGGTGGAAATGCAGGGAATGAGCATTTGTAGAGATGGTCTGGTCTCCTGTTTTGGTTTGTTCAGGGTTTTTTTTATGGCAATGGTCCAGCTCTATCCCAACTGTGCTTCAGTGCCCGTTGCAGCTTGGCTGACCTGCTAAAAACTTAGCAGATGTCATTGTAGATAGCCTGTGTACCAGCAGGGCAGGCTTTAGGATCATGCATGTTTTAGTTGCCCTGGCTTGGACATGAATAATCAAAGATGCTTCTGATCTTGAAATGATCACTCTTTTCTCTAGCACTACAGATCAGTGCCTTTAGGTCTTTAGTCTGTGACAGTTTTGTAAAGCTCTCTGACCTCCAAAATGCTGGGGCTGTGAAGTAGTTGCAGGGGGGTTGGAGGAGGTGATCCATGGCTGTAATGACTGTATTTCATGTTCAAAACGCTCAGTTCCCTTTGGTCACTGCCATGGTGTGCATCGGAGACATCTACCATCTACTGAACTTCTTCAGCTTTTCCCGATGGCTCTTCATAGGATTAGCCACCCTCGGGCTCATCGTCCATCGCCACCGTCACCCGGAGCTGCACAGCCCCTTCAAGGTAAATGCAAAGCACATACCTGGCAGCCAGGAACATGCAGGCCTGGCATCCCTCTCTTTGATTTGCTCATAATTACAGCATTACATGGCCATGGTTGCCTTTAGGCTCTGAGGGGTTTCAGTCTCTGATGCTTAATAATGTCCGTGGGGAGCTCCTGAAACTGGCTAGTGTGCCCAAACAGCCAGATGTGATAAATCCTATAAAGCCAGTTCTACATGGGGTCACCAGATGCATCTGTTAGAAGACTGGTTGCTACAAGTGACAAAGTTTCAGGCTTGGAACTGGGAGATGTACAGAGAGAAGTTCTCTGGCTCATCTCTTGTGGCCTACAAGAAGGAACTCTTGCCTGGATGTTATTTCAGTAGCAGGTAAGTCTCAGCTCTAGCTGAGAAGCAGGAAGGTGTCAGGCTTGGGGGAAAAGGAGCATGGGTGGAGGGGTCTAGGGAGCAAACCTGACTTGGGAGGAATCATCTGCTGGTATAGAAATATTGTCAGCATGTAAAGCAGTGGGCACCTCTTGTGGCCCTTCTCACTCTCCTGGGTGCTGGGATCCCCCCTTATGTCAGCAGGAGATGCTGGAGCAGCTTTCCTGTGCTTGGGCACCTTTCCCACTGCCGGATAATGTGCAGAAGGCATTAGGTTGGGGCGGTGCTTGAGGCGGGCACAGTTTGCTCCTGGCTCTGGTCGCCCCGGCATGGTGCCTCCAGGCAGCAGTGAAGAGAGAGCACCTCCGGGGCTGTGGGCACTGGGCAGCGAGGAGCTCGGCGCACAGAAACAGTTCCTGCAGTTCGCAGGGGTCCTCTCTGAGCTGGGTGCATCCGCCTGCAAAGTCTGGGGTAAGTTTTCTTCTCGGTCTTTGCATTTAGCAGAGACCTTGAGGCTTCCCAGTTTGTTGGTTGGCTGCACTCGCATACTCCCCCAGAACCAAACTGAATAAGTTTAGTTTACTTTTTCTTTCAAACCAATCTTTTCAGGGGAGATTTATTAGTGGGTGACACTGCTGATGGTTTCAGATGCTGAGATTTTGCCCTGGTTTTCTACAGACAAAGATTCAGACTTCTAGCGGCTCCTAAATGCTGATTAAACGAAGGAGGGAAATACCGGCCTTTTGGTCGGTTCGGTTGGTTTTGCCCCGCCTTTTCCCTGGTTTTTATCAGTTCTGTGCAAGAGGCAGGGGCTGCGCGCAGGTGGCGCGGGCACGTGCTGCGCTCTAGTGGCCGCACGCGGGCCGTCGCCTGCCCGGTGGAGAGCAAAGCGTGGCACCCGTGTGACAGCGCCGGCACTTACTCTCTCTACAGCATTCTGAGTTTAAAACGGTGTGAAAACACCGGAAAGAGGAGGGAGCAGTCCGCTCGCACACATCTCAAGAAAATGTGCAGCGTGAGTGTGTGCATGTAGGAGCGGCTGGCAGAGGATGCTCTGGAAAAGCAGCTGGAAAGACAAGAGTACCTAAGTTTGATGGCTGGAGGGCTGCCATACCTATAGTAACCGATCTCTTCCAACTTGGCATGTTCAGTATCCAAAATACAATCTTTATTACTGGTAAAGACTGTCACCTTATATGAGAGCAGCATTCCTTCAGCCATGGCAAGAAGTTACTTGGCAGAGTTTGGATCCAGAGACAGAGGGAGTGTTTCACAGTTTTATTATTTATTGCAGTTTTCCTATTTGCTCTCCAAATAACCCAGACAAATTGGCTCATCCAATAGGGTATGGCTGAAGTGCTGAGTGCTGCTTTGATTTTCACCATGGTGTCACTGAAATTCTTGGTGCAGGTACTACAGAGATAGGGATAGGGAGTCTGGTTTGTCTTGGTTTAGTCACTATAAGTCTCAGGCAAACTGGAGGCAGGTCAACACGAGTAATGAATTTTATAAGCAAGGAACAGTTTGATTCAAAGTGTCACTTTTTCTTGGCTTCAGATTTTCCCTCAGCGGTTGCCTGAGCTAGCAAGTAGGTATGTGTGCCTGTGCATGCACAGGTGCAGGACATTCACAGAGCTGTGGGGTGTAGGTGGCTTCTCCCCCTACTTGGCTTCCAGTTGCAAGTTAGGTTTAGATTTTGGTGCACATGAATATAGGAGGCATGCACCTCACAGGGCACTCTGGGCTCTGAAGCTGATGCAGTTGTTTGCAGTCTGATTGTACAGAAGCATTCTTCAGGACAGGATATGATTATTCTGATTTTCTTTAGGTGGAGAAATGAATGCAGTGTGTGCTGGCACATACAGAGTCTGATCAGCTAGAGCCACCAGTTTTTCCTGATAGTCTTCTGTGCTCTTTTCCTCAGGTTCCCCTGTTTGTTCCTGTCTCTTTTACCATCATCTGCCTCTTCACAGTGGCAATGTCTTTCTATTCAGACCCTGTGAACATCAGCATTGGATGCATCATAGTTTTGAGTGGGTTTCCAGTCTACTACCTCATCATTCACAGGCAGATGTCAGATCGCTGCCGCAACCTGTTTTGTAAGTATGCATTTCACTTTCAGTACTGTGGACCTAAACACGCTCAAGGGTCAGGGTGCTGTTTTGTTCCCAGGGCTCACCTCTGATGCAAATTGCTCCTTGAACAATAGACCTCATGAAACCTAAGTCATCACCACTGGCACCACTCTGGTGTCTTTCCCAAGGCACAGCCGCCACAGCCAAATTTGTTTTAACAAAGACAATGCTGAGGTCTACCAGCAGGGGGAATAGAGAGGGTTGCTTTCCCACCTCAGCCCTGTACCCACTAAACTTTATCATGTCTTTGGGATCAACAGCTCTGGGTGAAATTTGTCTGACATGGAGCAGAAAGATGAAAAGTTAGGATGGTGAGACTACAGGCAGATGCTGTAACCCCATGCACAAACTTGCTTGCTGAAAGGCTGGGGAGAGGGCTGCTAGGAGAAGAGCACTGCCAGAGGTCTGTGTGCTTAGTGAAGATGGTTTGGGCACAAATGTAGCCGTGGAAATGAAGTACATCTCCACTCCAGACAGTGTGTAGTACAGATTTCCTTTGGATGTAGGCATGGTGGCACAAGAGTTTTTTCAGAAATGAGAGCCTGGGTTTGAGTTTAATTTGTTGTTTCTGTTCCAAGTCTTGTTTTCTTTTGATTTGATGTTGGATGGAGGTGCATCAGTAACCACTCAGTAGAGGAAAACATATAGCAAGAAAGGAAATAGATACAATGATCTGCCAACACAAAGTGCTCCAGCCATCAGTGCTGATGCTCTGATTTTCAGCCATGTCTCAGGATTTCCTCTGGACTAAGCTTCCTTCCTTTTTTTTCCACCCTTTCAGATTATCTTACATACAAACTACAGTTACTGCTGGAAGTTGTCCAACAAGAAATCAAGACTTACTGAGAAAACCATCAAAACTCACAGAAGACAATAAAAATCTACTTACACCATTTTTGATACCTTTGATCCTACCAAAAGCAGACCATGATTTTATTCTTTTTAGTCAGTGCAACTGAGGATGACTGAGACAAAACCTTGCTGCAAGTGTTCCTAAGCTTGCCAGCTGGGATCTGTTCCTGCCCTTTTATTTTTTTTTCAGAAGAGGAAACTAGTTCTCTGAAATGAGCTTGCTTTGCCTGCAGAGTGTCTTTGAAACCAAGATCCTAATTTTGCAGCCTAGCCCAGTCCTGAGAAAAATTCTGTGTGTGTGTGTACAGAGACAGTATTTTGTTTTCCTGGCTTGGCAAATAGAGGAAGTGGGCATGTTGCAAAACTTAGAATCCAATACATGGAAGCCAAATGCAAGTTTCAAACAGAGCTACTACAGCAGCCTTGTGGACAAGAGGAAGGGTTGGGGAGACCTAATTAGAGGTAAGGCAGATGAATTGGAAAGGGAAATACAAGGGGATAAAATTTTATCCACCAGAAAGTGCAGATTGAGCTAATGAGAAGATATTTGAAATCCAAGTATTAACAAAGTAAAGTGAGAATGTTTTGCTTTGATTTTTGTATAAGCAGAAATTTTTTAGCTTTGAAATAATATTTCAACTTTGAATTTTACCTTTCTGAAATTACATTTTAAAATGTACAAATGCATTTTTAAAGCAATCAGTTAAATATCAACTAGAATATGACAGGAGAGATCCTGATCCCTCCCCCAGCTTCCCAGACCCACTCCTCACCAGTGAAGTTGAAAACAGAATTTGGCCTAGCTCCAGTGAAATACAATTCCTCCTTTAATTAGACAGGACCACTGATGAGACTTGGGCAAATTCCTGAATAAATGCATCTTCTGGTGCTGTAAGAAGACATGAGTGACTTCACATCCAAGCTTTAACTTGCCAATAGCGCATGACTTGCTGATTTAATCCATAAATGCTCATTTGAACTAATGGCATAAGAAAGGTTTCCATTATTGGATTACTTTGGTTTACATTATTAATGTGACAATGTATGTCCAGATAATACACCAATTACCTATTTACAATCACGTAATTGTTAATCAGTTGCTAAAAGATGGGAAGTAGCATGCTAAGACTCTTCTAATGACTGCTGGAAAGAGGAACAGCAGAATGTGGAGCATTTTTTAATCCTTTGTATCAAACATTTATGTACTTAAAATAAAAACAAAGTACCATTTACAAATCCAATGTAATCTACTGAAACATGTAAAATTTTGGAACTAAATTTGGGTTATTTTCAAAGCAACTGAGAATTATTATTCTTGTAGTGACTGGTTCCTGTTCCTAGGCTGAGTTAAGCTGGGACAGCAGCAATGTGGTAGCAGGGCTTGTTTCCCCACTCCCATCCCACAATTTAATTTACAAGCTGCTGGACATTGTCCAACAGAAAATACAGTCTCATGGAAAATCCTCACAGCAGAAACCATCACAACCTACAGGAGAAGTTCCTGGCTTTAAATGATAGAATGGATTCAAGTGAGATCTGGAAATGCTTCCAGGATCCCAGACAAGAGCCAATCCCTCCTCGTGCCAGGCTTTCCTGAAGCTGAACTGCCTGGTACACCTTCCCAGCCCAGTGGTGGACCAGGACCCAGTATGGGTGGCTGGGGGACCAACCTGCAGAAGACCTTGCAGAACCAGGTGAGCTCAATCACCCAAACATTTCCTGGGTCCACCCACTTTGGTCTGGAGGTTTTACACATCTTAAGGTAGCATGAGGTACTGCCAGCCCGGTCCCAGGCTGCAATACTCATGTGAGCACAGTGTGCATGTGTTGTAGCATTAGGACTCCCAGTCTGAAATTGCAACAGGGCTGCTGCATGTCACAGAGGCACAGACAAAGGGTGAAAAGTCCCTTCTTTGTCCATTTCATCTGAAGAGAACAAATGAACAAGAATTGAAATTCCTGGGAGGAACTAAGTAGTGCTACCATAAAGGATAAGTCATTTGACATATGCAGGAAAACCACACTTGGGTGCCTCTGCTGACTGTGCAGGAACATGATCTCGCAGGGCTATACATAGGATGTCTGCTCTGAGACCTGTTCCATTCCCAGATACTGGAAACTCAGACAGATATAGTACCTTGGTCGAGAAATCAAAGGTTCAACAGCTCCACAGATGACATTGCAATTAAAAGGGACAAAACCAAAAAATACGATATTCAGCAGGTATAAATTTACAGTGAGCTCAAGTTTCCAGTTTGTGAAGCGTTGTTTGTTTTTAGAGAGGATGGTGTGCTGCTCCCAGCAAAAATATTCTGCCAAGCCAGAATGCTCTTCCTAAAGCTCCTGCCTCATGTCTACTGAAGCACTTAGGCCTCAGTGGGTCTAAGAGCTTCAAGAATGGCCAGAAGTGAAAGAAAGTGAGTTCATAATCACATTTGTGGTGTTGTTTTTTTGTTTTGTTTTGGTTTTTTGTGTGTGTATGCTAGGGGTTTCGTTGTTGGGTTGGTTTGTTTGTTTTAATGCTATGTCTGTAGAATGTACTCAGAGTGTACCCTTTCTGGAAACTCAGAGATTTATGTGTTTCAGCCACTGCTGATCTGATGTGACTGGATCACCAGGAAAGAAAAATGTTCTGGGCAGTTCAATTGAACACAATCTGGGAATAAAAAAAAAGTCAAAGAAATGCCTTCAGCTTAACAAGTTTGCATTTTAAGACTACTTGACATGTTGTTAAGCTTTATGCCTCAGAGCTCTGCTGGGAAATGCTGTCAGCTTCTGAAAGGCTGGAGGTCAGACTGGAAAGTTCCTAAGCCTTGTCTGATTAGTGTGGAGAAGAGCAGAGAGGAGGATCAAACTTCAAGGTGCAGGAACAAAAACACCTGGGATGGCGCAGAGCTCCGAGGGCTGATCGAGCCTGTCTTGCAGGGCTCTGTGCATGGCACACACAGGTTTGTGTGGCTCAATATGGCTCTGCTTGCTGCAAACCCCCCACCAGTGCCCATACAACCTTGGGGAGAGCAGGATGAACAACACCCACTTCCTGCACTGAGATTTGGGGGGGCACTTTAGAAGGCAACGTCAGCTGTTGGCTTTCCAAGAATGATGTTCAACAGAAGCTGCTCCTTATAGAAAGGAGAAAGTGCTGAATATCCCCAGCCATTGGAAGGCTAAGAGGAATTGGTTGTAGGTAAGTACAATGGCAGGAATCCAGAAGCAAGGATAAATTCTGCTGGTTTGTAGTGACACTGATTTTGCAGTTGTATCTGCCAAAGCCCTGGGCTGGGCCTGGCCTGCTTGTGCTTGGCAGCTGCGCATGCGTCTGTCGCAACAACCAGAAGGAAATGTTACTGAGCTCCACTTCCTTAGGGTCTGTGGCAGAGAGGCACCCGTGCTTCCACAGAGAGGCTGCGAGGGAGACAGCGAGGTACAGATGTGCTGTGAGCAGTTCACAGGGAGCTCTCACAGGCCAGCTGTGGCTCACTTTCAAAGGTGTTGCTGCACCCAGGGCACCTTTGCCATGCAGAGCAAGGGTTAAGCAGGCTCATCCAGCCTGGCAAGCACAAGGCTGATGCTCTCAGCTCCTGAGGGTGGTGACTAGGCAGCCCAAGGACAGAACTGTGCCAGGGAAGTGGCACGTGCTTGGGCTCTGACAGCCTTCCCAGGGTGCAGCTGAGAGGGGAGGGTTGGACACACAGGAGGTTCAGGTTTTCATAGCTTGTGGGCTTGGCTTCAAGGTCTGCTGGAGAGTTACCTGCTTGCACTTTGTCATACTGTAAGTTGTGTTTGTATCTTCATTCATTCATCTTTTTTTCTTGTGTAAGGGAAAAGTTTGCTTTTTAAGTATAAAATTTTCTGTGTATAAAGTTATTCCTACTAAGATATAAAAAGCAAATGTAGAGTTGCACAAGACCATGTAGTGAGATCTTCAGCAAAATGTGAAGGATGCTACCTGTCTTGCTGGCAAAACATTTCTGTCTGCTTTTGAAGTGTTTAATCTATGTTTATTTCTAGTTGGGGTTAGCTGATGAGTGGAGAATCCCAGCATGGAGCAGAAATGCTGGAAAGTGAAAAGAAAAGTAGGTCACAAGTGGACAGATTTGCAAGCTTACATGATTAGGGCAGACTGGGAGCCCCAAGTCTCGGCAGAGGAGCTGGCAGGGGTTAGCAGGAGTTATCTGGAGTGGGGATAGAGGGAAGAGAGAGTTGGCCAGCAATGGAAAAAAACTGTCTGGAAACATCATCCTACCCCCCCTTCCCTGCTTTTCTTTGCATTTCCTTTCTCCCCACCTCCCTCCTCAAATTCCATCCTTCAAATCTGCCAACTTCAAATTCTTCAGCCATGCCAATAGCAGCAGCATCATGGTGCTGTGCAGAGGGGAAAAAAAGGGACAGCCATGTCCACAAAATCTCCTGGTAGTGCTGGATCTCTTGAATGCCCTGCAATGGGAAAGAATAGTTCGGAGCATTTTTCTAGGAAGCCTGGCTGGTGTTACTGCATATGCAGGCAGCGCTGGAACAAGGCCTGTGAAGGAGACCCTGGCTCTTCCTCGCTCTTTGTTCTGGCAGTGCGGGGCTGCCACGCCTTTGTTTTGGAGACCTTTGCACTGTAAACAGCTCTATGAGGGAGCTGCTCTTGTAATGATTTCCTCTCATTGGTCTGCTCTGAATACCCTTGATCCCTGCCAAAGTACAAAGGGCATCAGAGCTGGATACATGATGATTTCCAGTTTCTGTTTCAATATCATGTTCAGATTCTTCAGGCAGCCCAGAGCAGCTCTGTCACAGACCCTTGGAAGCTCAATGGCTGGCAGCTTTTTGCTATGGCTATGTGATCCATGATAGGCAATGTTGTAGGGGCAGTAAATTGGTGAGATACATTAAAAAAGTGTTGTCTGGGTCCAAAACTGGGAGATTGAATGAAAGGTGAAGCACAGCAGGCAGAAAAGTAAAATGCCATGAGTTAGAATTATTGGTAGCTATCTGTTTAATTTTCTTCTCTTTGTAGGTGCTGTGTCTATGACAGTGCAGAGTGGAGACTTTGCTGGTAAGTATTGATATCCCCTCCTGCAAGTGAGAGCTGCTTTCTCACTCCCTATCTTCAACAGGACAGCGGGGAAAAAATAAGATTCATGAGCTGAGATAAAGCCAAGGTGAACATTGGGCAAGACAGACTTCACTTGGGGGAAGTTAGTTTATTGCCAATTAAGATAGATTTAAATTGTGAGAAAAGAAAATTAGATCACTTATTTCACCCTCCATGGATTCCCAGTTTCAACTTCACTCCTTCATCCCTGACTTTTCTACCCTCTCCTACCAAAGCAGTGCAGAGAGGGAGGGAAATGGATATTGTCCTCAGTCTATAAGACTTGCCATCTACTCCTCCATCATTCTCAAAAATTTCCAATGCTTCAGCGTGGTTCATTTCCCATGGGCTGCAGTCCTGCAGGATAAACGTGCTCTAGCATGGGTTCTTCTCCATGGACTGCAGCTTCCCTCAGGCCCTGTCCACATGCTGCAGTTTGGCCTTCTCCATGAGCTGCTGTGTGGATCTCTGCTCCATGGACCTTCACAGGTTGCAGGGGCACAGCTGTCTCACCATGGCCTTCTCTATGGGCTGCAGGAGAATGTTGGTGTCAAGTGTATTTTCTTAAAATGTGTTTTTTAGGTAGATACATTTTTGAGAAAATCAGTGGCACAGGTCCAAGCCAGAGAGGTCAGGATCATTTCTGAGGTGCTTACCATGCCCCATAAACATCCAAACACCAATTCCTCAGTTCTGGGGCAAACCTGCACTTTCTAGCTGGATGGAGTCTCCTTTTTTTAAGAAGTGAATAGATTTCTGATCAGACCAGGGATACTGCACAATTTGACAGCTTTAGAAAAGACCCCTACTTTGATCTGGATTTATTTTCCAATGCAGGACAGAGCAAGCAGCCAGGTGCCCATCAGCTCTTCTGCACTTGTGTTGTCTCCTGACTCATCTGTCTGCTCCTGAAAATGGAGTATGTCTGGTATTGGCTCGATGATTCCAAGCAGTGGATTGAGTATGGGAAAGAGGTGAAATTCATCTGCTGTTCATGCCAAAAGCTTTTGTTAAGCCATCTTTGGAGAATTCTTTAGAGCGTGTTGTTCTGCAGCTGGTGTGTTCTACACGCACTGCTGGGTGCTCTTGCAGTGCTGTTCCAATGCCTGGGTGGAATTGTCTTCTTAATTGTCCCTCAAAGTGGGACTGGAACTCTGTGAAAGCTTTCAAGGGACTGGCTTGGTAAGCGGGTGCATTTTCCAGAGCTGACAAACATCATTTGGCTGGAGCTGACCACACAGGCTGAAGACTGCTTTGTTGCTGCTGTTAGAAGCAGCTGTGCTAGGTGGGGTACCCCTCCATCTCCGTAGAACAAAATGCTTGAAGCCGTAGAGACTTCAAAACATCCTCCTGTCATAGGGGCCTAGGGAAACATTGATATTTCCCCACAGTGGCACCTAAACCAAAGGGTGGTTTCTAACATGTATAATTTCCTTGTTCTTTCTGCAGCACCCAGGTCACGTCACTGCCACTGTAACATCTGCATTTCTGGAGAATGAATATCAAGCTGACAAGAATGGTGTTATTTTTTTCAGGGCTGGTTCTCAGCAGTACAAGTTAGACTTTGCAGGTGAAGTATCTCCTTGTTTTAATTTCATTACATTGTGCAGATGGCTTGAAGGTTTTCACACTATGTCTGCATCTCTTTGAACAGCTCTTCTTCCTCCTGCAAATTTTCTCCAAGCAGAAATTGAGCAGTAGGTAAATTTCTCTAAACTTTTGATGTGCCCCACTTGAGTTTCTACACTTGGGCATCTGTAGTCAAACAAACAAACCTGACAATATTGTACATTCAGAAGAAGAGTTGAGAATAAATGCCTCATGGCACCTTGGCTTATACATTTGTGTTTGTACACCTGAAAAGGAAGAATGAGAAATCAGGGGGAAAAAAACAAAAAGGCACTGAAAAGTCAAAAGGTGAAGAAGTGAGCCTATAGTGAACATCTTGCAAGCTACTTACAGGGAGAGAAAGCACAGTGCAGCAAACAAAAATTTAGGGCTGGTTGCATAGAGAGAGAAATGGGAAAATGAAAAATGCTTTTCTGTTTCTAATTTATTTACCCGTCTTAAAACTCCTGTTAGCTTTCCAAACTTTAAATGTTTCCTGGCATGAGTAAAGAGTGGTGTTTAAAGGAGGAAACAATGGGTAATTAGCCATGTCACACAGCATGTGCTCTGTGATATTGTTACAGGACCAAGAAGGGAGGGCAGGCTTTGCTTTTAGCACCATGGAGCAGCCCTGTGCTGCCAGGAAAGCCAGGTTTGTGGCCCCCATTGCACTGAAAACTCTTTCCTGCTGCAGGCCTGCCATCAGATGTGGTTTTCTCTGGCCAGCAGCCTGGATATGAGTACCAGTGCAGGTGCAGTTAGTGCTTGGTTGCTTTCAAGTTCCACAGCCTGTGCTAGTAGGTGACCTTGCTGATCTTCAAGTAGGAGCAGTGCAAGTGGGAATGAAGTTTGCACTGGGGTGGGTGCGATAGAGAGAGCACCACAATGCAATATTCAGGGCTACCTCTTCTTTTATTTTTACTCAACGTGGAAGAGCCTGTCCCTAGACAATGAATTATCTCATTATTGAGTTTTTGTGTTTTTCTTTCAAGACATGGTCCAAACAAACGTGCTCTTTAAAACTAAAAGAAATGTTATTCGACTGCCTAACTCTGAAGATGGACAAGATGGAAGGTAATACACATTCACTGTTTAACAATATCTCTAGAGGACAGCACCTTTCTGCTAAGAAGTTCCTCCTACCCACCTAGAATGCAATTTTATATTTCTTAAATTAATTTTTAGATACCTTTTCCTAACTGGTTTAACAGCACATTTTGCAGTGACAGTATTTGTAAATTATGCAACGCTTCTGTAAAAGTCTCTGGAGGGATGTTTGCTGGCAGTCTGTGAAAGACCACTAGAGCAAATCTGCTCTCTCTGTGAGAGGCAAGGCCACATAAGACTGACACAACTGTGCCAGGGATTTTTATTCCTTGATTTATGCCCCAACACTAATAAATAAACGGTGCAGTGATTAGGAGCGAGGGAATGCCAATCCCAAGAGCTGTGGTGCATGTGGATGTCATCTCTTGGAAAGCTGAGGATAAACTAAAACCCAGAACAGGCAAATCCACTGAAATGAAGTGAATTAGAGGCACTTACTTGAGATACCCTATTTTATGGCTTTTTCTAAAAGAAGTTCAGTTTAAAAGAATTTGAACATATATGCTATAAATGTTATTTGTGCTACTGATTTATTTTAGTAAGAGCTGTCTCAGCTTTAGAAACTCACTAGCAGACACTGCATGTGAAGCTGAGGGTTCAATTAAAGTGTTGGTTCAAACTAAGGTGGGTTCATTCAAAAAGAAAACAAACTAGAGCTCGTGAATGGATGCCTGAAGGCTGCTTTAGAGCCCATGATTAGATTCACCAGAAGAGGGATTTGGTTAGGAGTATCACCAGCTGACTGGCTCCTTTTTCTATTCTGTAGCCAAAACATGACTTTATCACATCCTGTCTATCCTCCACAGTGGGACCAAACTGCACTACCTGATATTGGGTACAAGGTAGGACTTTCCAGCTCTCCAGTGGGTGGCGAGAGCTCTCTCCTGTACTGATTTTTCCAAGACCACAATTCAAGGCAATTGAGATGTTACCAGCTTTTAAATGTGTCTTGTAAAATAAGCAGCTATGATGTGAAAAAAGACTGACAGTTTCATATTCAGAACAGATGTGCATTTCCTGGGAGATCTCTGAGAATGATGTGGTATCATCTCCCCTATGATACCACACAGGGTAAGAAAGGCTATTGCTGCTCATACCTGTTCTTTGCACTCTCCCAAGGCACTTCATCCCCTGATAAACCAGATTAATTGTATCTTAATGTGGTATTTCCTCTGTCAGTTTGAGGCAGGATGTTATCTGCTGTGGTAAAATTACAGCTTAGCCCTGTAGGGCAGAGTAGAGTAGAGTGTCAGATTAAGGTGAAAATTTCACTCTGCTTCAGCCTCAATGTTGCTATGCATTTCAACTATAGGTTACTCTGAGCTCAAAATAGTCCAGATGTGGAGGTGCACCCTCAAAAGGAAGCTCATGTGGGGTTGCACTGGTTTCCCTCAGTCGGTGTCTGTGCTTCCACATGGGGAGTGATGATAAAGGAGGGTTGATAGGAAAAACAGAAGCAGCTTGTGATTTTTGTGGTAGGGCTTTTCAGCAGATATGAGAAGGTTGATGAGTTCTTTGAAAGGACTGGGAGTTGTTACTCTCAGTAATACCTTATTTTTAGTGCTTTAAAAATTTGCAGTTGATACAGCTCAGCAATGATTCCCAAGAATATACAAAAATCAAGAGGCTGTTTGAGAAGACAATGAAAAATTACTGCATCAAACAACTGCAGAGGATTCAGAACCCAACACTTTGGGACATTTTTCAGTGGTTTGTATCTACTTTATTTCATTATCCTTACTGTATGAGAAGACTGGTATTTTCTGATCTCTTGTCCTCCATAGTCTACATTTAGAGCTGCTAAATTCAGCAGTCCAAAAGAGGTGAGGTTGCCACATATCTCTCTGCCCAGGTCTGGCTGGTGGCCCAGACTTATGACTGCTCCAAAACCTGGCTCCCTGAGGCTGAGACTTCCCTGGGGCAGTCCTGGAAGGGGACTGAGGCTCCTCTGTCTGTGACTGAGTTGTTAGTATTGCATCTGTATTATTTTGTGTGTGCAGAAAGGAGCCTTTTATCCCTAGCAAGATATGTGTATGATTCTTGCTAGTGTTATTCAAAAAGGAAATTCTTTTCCTTCATCATAATTGAGCTTTGGTGTTTCATGTTTATACTTTTGCTTTTAGCCTCTTCCACAGAGGAGTTAGGAAAAAAAAAAAAAGAGGAGACTTTTTCTGGTGATAAAGATAAGGGCAGAGATTATACAATCTTCACTGTAGCTTCATACAGCTCAGTTTTATAATCATATTTATGTATTCAGGATTTATATAACATGGGAACTGACCAATTCCTAGTCAAGAGACGTTTGTCTCTTTACTCTCTCACATGTGGTATGAAGTTGTGGATGACACAGTCCATAGTCCAGCTGCTGAGAACTTTTTGTTTTGCTGGCAGGAGCCAACTGTGTGGCAGGGTACCAGCAGAAGTGCAAAGCAGGCAGTAACCCCACTGAGAGTGGTTTGTGTCACTGTTCCTCCCTGACCCAGAAGTAGGAGGAGTTGAGTTGGGAAATTTTCCTTGTTTGAACCAGGAAAACAAATAGGTTTGGGGGGTTTTTTTGTTGGTTTTTTTTGGTTTTTTTGTTTGTTTTTTTTTTTTTTTTTTTTTTTTGGTTGTCTCTAGGCAAAAAGAAAAGATGAAGAAGCTCCATCAATTGAAAGGAGTGAATGAGAGGCTCCTATTCCATGGCACAAGTCCATCCCATGTGTCTGCCATCTGTGAGCAGAACTTTGACTGGAGACTCTGTGGGACTCATGGGACAATGTATGGAAAAGGTACAAGTGCAGAAGGGTGTAGGGGCTGTAGCAGCAGGGACTGCAGACCCCAGCCAGGCTGGGGGATGTGGGTGCGAAGTGACTGATGGTTCCTGACCCATGTACTCCTGCCTTTAGGGCATGGTCACCTGTGTACATCTGCATTGCTTTCAGTAGCACCCACAGCAGCAATCCCATTCCAGGAAGGGCTAAAAACACCTCTCTTTGCCTCAGGTGCCTGCTCTTGGACAGGTGGGACTGGGAGGCTGATGGTGAAATGTGGACTGGAGTCAGTACTTTACAATAAGCCAGGGTGGGAACACATGGCAAGAATGTTCCCACACATTGTAGAGCTAGCTGGGCTTGTTGGATTGCTGGCTGCCAAGGTGCTGTTAGCACATGCTTGTCCCTTGGCTGGTGTATTGTCTGACCTGTCACTTTTTCTGCTCCCTAGGAAGCTACTTTGCCAGAGATGCCAGCTATTCCCATGAGTACTGCTCCTCTCTCAGTGGGCGCTACAGCATGTTCGTAGCTCAGGTTCTTGCTGGAGACTTTGTGCGGGGGAACCCTGAGTACTGCCGCCCTCCACCCAGAGACAAAAATTCAAACAGACTTTATGACAGCTGCGTGGATGACCCAACAGACCCTTCCATCTTTGTCATCTTTGAGAAGCAACAAATTTACCCTGCCTATATTTTGGAATACAGCCTTGAGACCAGCTGTGTGGTCCTGTAATGAATGGTGGAATGTCTTTTGAATTCACACTGAATAAATTACTCTTCAGTACTTTTTTTTTTAAATGTTTGTTCAATTTTAGTTGTAGCTTTAGAACACTTTGTAGTGCAGTGAACCAGTATGAATGCCCTGATTGTTTGGGGGGGCATAGTGTTTTGCTAGGGGCTATTCTTTCCCCAGAAGCAGTGCCAAGCTTTAGCATTCAGCATATCTCTAGCCTGGAATGGGGACAGATGTACCTGCCTTGCATACCATGATGCAGTGACACCTGCTGAGTTGAAATTACCTTGATCCACTGATATGGTCACCTTGGGTTGATTCCTGCCTGTGATGGTGTTGATATGCCAAAGGGAGGCTGAGCAGGGAATGTGGAAGAAGGAAAAGTGAAAGTACCTACATCATGGTGCTCAAGAGAGGAATCATGGCCTGTCTTTCAAATAAATGGCAGGAAGCTCCTGCATCCTGAAGGCTTTATAATTAATTCTGGCAAAGAACTTTGCTTTGTTTCCTGGTCATATTGCTGTTTCTTCTTACCATTTTCTGCTGTGTCAAGTCTGCATTTGGTTAAGAAAATAAACAACATTCAGGCCTCAGCCTGAATGACACCCTGTGACACCCTGTCCTTCCTTTGTTCCCACTGGATCTAGGTCAAGAAAAGCAGGGATATGGCAGCTGCTGAAGTTAGATCCCCACCATGCCATGACATCAGCAGTGAGGAAGTCTATGGTGAGCTGAATAATGGCACGCAGCAGTGTCCCACCAGGGCTGTGGGACCAGTTCCTGCAGCAGTGAGCAGTGAGACACTGGGGCTTTGTGACAACTGGCTGCTGGCACGGCCACCTCCTTCCCACCCTGCAGGCTGGCACTGGTGGTGGCTGTTTTGGATTACATTGCTGCTGCCTGGAACTTCTGATGATGAAGTGCCCCAGTGGCATGTGCTCCAGCTAGGATGGATGGTGGGGGAAGTATGAATTATGGTCATAGTACTTGAAACTTGGTGGATAATGGGATAACATTTGGGATAGTGATAGCATGGAAACAAAAATGAATGGTTTATTTAAAAACAGTCGTGAGGTGTAAGTTATAATTCAGCAGAGGAGTCACAAGTAGTTCACTTGTGTGTGCCACAGCTGGGAGGAACCAAGAGGAGGGCTGTGTGTAGGATCTCATCAGCTTTCCTAAAGCTGCTATGTTCAGGCACAATCAGTGTCTTTAGGGAATTTTGAAAGACAGGTGACTGCAGAAAGTCCCTAAGCTACACTAATTCATGCAATTCCACATCTCACTGCTTTTGCAGAAGCTTAAAGGTAGTTCTTTTGCAAATTAGTGATCTAGTCTTGTCATTCACAGGTGAGCAGAGAACTTTCCACACAATCAGGAAGTAAAAATGAAAGTCACTTAAGGTGACTTAAAGTGGATGGGAAGGGACTGAACAGTGACCATTTTCAACTGTCACCCTACGGAATGTTGCATTGGTCCTTGCAACATTCCATAGATTTCCTCTATGGCCTCATCAGGGGGCTTGGACATGCAGCCTTTTGGCAGGACAGGGGCTGGGAGATGGAGGGTTTGGGAAGAGTTTTGCTATTATACAAAATACGCTGTGGAATGATGCCTGTGTAAAAAATCATCTTCCCCCATTCTTTTCCTCCATGACAGAAGAAACCACCCGTCATGTGGGAGAAAGTTATTTCCAGGAAGGCGAGCTTCAGAGTATGATTGCCAAATTCATCAGAGGCAGGAGAAGGTAAGGAAGAGCCTGCTGAGAAGCAGGCCAGCCACGGGAAAAGTGGGGGTTGTTGATCTGAAAAAGTGGAAAAAGGCAGAGAACAGAGGACAGAGAAAACATGCACAGTTTGGAAGAAAAATAAGATTTTCCAGTAAGTCAAAACTACTTCTGACTACAGGGAGGGAGAGTTTCTCACAGCCTCCAGCTGCCTCCAGAATTAGGTGCCAGGTGTCATATCAAGAAGATAGGCAGGATCTGGAGGAGCACTCCTGCCTCCTGACGGGTACTGCTGCTGTTTCCCCCATGCCACTGCTGGATGGAGGGGAGCAGATGCAGGGAATTCACCTGCTTGAAAACTACCTAGCCAAAACCCCCACAAGACCCAAACCCAAAATATGGTGTTCAGCATGAGCAGTTTCCAGTTCTGCTTCTGTCGACACTAACAGAGAGCTGAGCAGGCTGCAGCATGATTTTTAACTGGCATAAGAAGATCCTGAACCTCTAGCCCAAGCAGATCTGGGAATCTAAAGCTAAAAGACTCAGGAATATTTCAGCCAGTGAGGCACTGAGAGCAGAAGCTGCTAGTAAAAGTGAAGAGCAACTTAATCTATGAATACTTTTTCATGGGACTTTTGTTCAGGATCATGAATTTGCTAAATCTTCTTCCCAACCTGAACCTCTGGCTGCCTCTGGAGTACCCGGGTGCCTTCAAAGTCCTAAGCAGAAAGCATTCCTCAGCACCCTTTTAGATGAGAAATACTTGCAAATGGTCAGCAACATGTGTGCTAGTCGGCAGGCACCAAGCATCGATCTTGGTCTTTTCATTGTCTTTTCATTCACTTTTTTTTTTCCCCTGAAAAAAATTAAGATGTGTTGATTGTTTCTGACTCATGCATGTGATTGACAGTTTCACAGTCACCAAGATGTTGATGGGACAGGTCTGGCCTGAGGAACACTGATTTCTGAGTGGTTGAACACTGATTTATGAGGGGTTTGCTTCTTCCTACATCAGCCAGGCTGACACAGGATGGGCAGTGCTGCAGTGGACTTGCTCTGCAGCAGCAGCCTCTCTTTGTCATCTCCTGGACAGGCTGCTGTGGGCATCAGCAGCTTCTCCAGTAATTTCTTTAGCAATTGCTTTTCAGGAACCAGCAACTATTCATAAGGATCAATGGATGCATTTTGTACTCATATAAATAATGTATTTTTTCTATGTATTCAAATGTACTGTCTTTGCCTGCAAGCATGTTAGCGCAAGTGATCTTTTCATCATAATGTATTTCTAATTGATTTTATTGTGGTTCTCTTATGGCTTCACACCATGCCTAGCTTTAACACAGTTGGTTACATATTCATGCAACTGGTGTAGGCTTTCTATTAAATAACACCACAACACGTTTTCAGGCTTTCTTTTCATTTACTGGTGCTGAGTTTGACTTCTCAGTATTTTTAAGAAACCTTTTAACAATTTTGACAGAATTTATTACAGGATGATTAAACTGCAGAAACCTAATGCTTGATTGAATGTGCTGAATGACATATTATTTTCCAAAACATTCAAACTGTTAAAAATCAACCTGAGCCCCATAACCTGGCACAACCACTTTATGGGTGCCAAGTGAAGAAAACACAGATATTGTTCTTGGCATGACATGCTCAACAATTGCATTATTTAACAAGGCTCTTTCTAGATTGAGGGAATAATGAACCCAGATCACTGTGGTAATGATGGGGAAGGGCAGGAGTCTTTAGTTAGCAGCCTGTAGGAGACAGATTTCAGGCAACAGTTTTTGCTGGTTGTTCCTGTTCTTTTTCAGTGCCTGTTGTCAGGCATGTTGAGTCCTAGGCATGATTTCCCAGAGCAACTCAAACTGTCTTTACAAGGTTACTTTTACATCTAGCTTACAAATAGGAGCAATAGGGAAAGCTGACCTGGTTCTTATCCATCTGTTCTTAATAAGCTTAGATTTCCCTTCCAGATGGCTTCCAGCAATGTCAGAGGGCCCATGAATTGGTGTGCCAGTGTTCAACTCAGAAATGCTTGCGAAATGTCTACACGTGATATCCCCACCACTGGAGGAAGCTTTGTCTTTACTCACTCCCAAGGAGAAGTTTTATTTCAGTGTGTGTTCTGTAAATAATTTTGCTTGGTCTGTATCTTCAGCTTTGGTCTCCTTAACTGTATTTTATTTTCAATATTGTTTTCCATTTACTAGTCGAAAGCAGGTGTTGGAAGTCACACTGGTCTCTGCTTAAACAATTTGTGCACCCTTTCATTCTTGCTTCTTGCAGGCTCTTTCTGACTGCCTTTTGCAGATAGACCCTTGCAACTTCCAGTTTGCTTTTCTGTTAAAAATTCCTGCAGGTTTATGGGGCTTTTTTACTATGTTCTGTAACATCCATCTCAAGCTGTGATCCATTCTTCTCTCCTGAAAGCCAGCTGACCTTTGTTTTGTCTCTCAGCTCAAGCAAGTTCTTCTAAGAGTCTTTTTTCATATCCTTTTTCCTCTTTGATCCTCATACAATATGACCTCATTTTAGCAGTGACACAACCTCTGCCTTCACATAACTTATTTGACTGAAGGTCCTCACATCAATCCTAATGTCTTAAAAAATCCCTCTTTTTTTGTTTCTTTTTTGTGGGGTTTCCTGGTTGGTTGGATGATTTGGTTGGGTTTTTTTCACTGAGCAAGTCAAATTCCTTAATAACAGACTGTCCTCTGTACATTTCCTTAGTCAGAAATGTGATTAGTTTCACTGTAGGCTACTAACTAAACCTAAACTTTGAGATATTGCTACCAAACTACAGTTTAGCTATCAGGATCTTCTCCACCTGCTGCTATGCCTGAACAGTCTGAGTAACTCAATGACATGTCGTGATCACTGGCTTTTCTTTTCCTTCCCAGACAGACCTTTGGATTGTTTTTCTTTTCTTCCCCTCAACTTTCAGTTCTACTTATTCCTTTTAACTTGTGGCATCTAGGCTGTTTCCTGAGCTGAAACATAATTAATGGCAATCGTAAGTAAAAAAGCTGCATTACATAACTGGGAAGACAACTTGCAGGACTCTTCTCTATCTAAATGCCATCAACCAACATAAAAATTAACATAATCCTCTAATGACTGTTAATTCAAGATGATTGTGAAAGTTATTGTTCATCAGGAGAAGCAGCTCTTTTGCAGTGGCATGAGCTACATGGACTGGATAGCCAGGTGATCTATTCCCACACTTGTGGAGGTTTTATTAGGGAACTTATAAATAAAAACTTGCCTTTTCATTAGGCAAATTCAGAAGTATTAACTTCTACATGTAAAACATGGA